TTCCTAGCCGGGGTAGTTCTCAGCCTAGTCCAAGGTCTTACAAGAAAATTTCTATTCGCGGGGACCCAGCGTTCAACTAATGTCGTTTCTACCGTTGAAGTAAGATGTCGTACAACAAAGTAATTATTTTCGAATTCAAGTTTTTTTCTTTATTGAACAATTGGTAATATATGTATAACAATCAATGTATTTTAAATAAAAAAACAATTTATCAAATAATATCTTTACAATTACTCGTAAATAATAATAATCAAATAATATTTAACTGATTTCAATTTTATTGAACAATTTGTAATATATGTATAACCATAAATGTATTTTAAATAAAAAACAATTTATCAAATAATGTCTTTACAATTACTCGTAGATAATAATAAGCAAATAATATTTAACTGATTTCAATTTTTTTTAAAAAAAAATAATATTAATTAATCATATTTTAAGTTTAACGTTTTATAAATGTATTTTTGTGTTCACTTAAATACAACAAAATTTATAAAAAAACTCATAAAATGTTTTTAAATAAAAATATAAGGGAAGAAGAATTTCTATTAAGCGTAGTCGTGTGAAGATTACTTTGGTATTTCACTTAGAATTTTATGTAATATTTTTACATTCCTTAAATGTGGATTAAGTAATTAAACTTTTAATGTTACACTTTATAATTAATTAAGATTATATTTGCATATAACAGAATACATTTTTTTCACAAATATCTTGTTTTCAGTTGTTTAATTTCAATTTTTACAAAGATACATTTTTTTCATAGATTCTATTTCATAAGAACTAATAATTCTTGAGCTTGTTGTGTTTAGAAAGTTTATGCTCCTATGCGCTTAACTTGAAGCCTTTACGATTGTGATTGCCTTGTTGTTACTTTTCTCATTTCCATTCAAATGAGTAAAATTTGTAGATATTCAATTATACAATTTATTAATTTTTAAGCAATTCGTCCGATTTAAATAAAATAGCTTATAAATTCACGCTTATACATTGAAGTTACTTACGCGAAAATCTGCACTGTATTTTATACATATATAAGCCTTACCCTCTCTGGTACATCAGGGCTGCTTACAACGTCCAGCGATGGTTATCAGGAAACGCCAATCAATTTAAACTTTGCCACGTATCGGAGACAAAGAGACACCCAAGCCGCGCCACGTCTTTTGCTTGTGGTGTCAACACGTTTATACGTTCGAACGAGCACCAGTACAAAATCTTTTAGTTGACCACTGTTAAAGCCGTCAACTATTTCTTTTATACTGTGGCTATTAACACTATTATCCCGAGATGCAAAAGTTGGCTAAGAAAATAGCACCAAAGTAAATTTTTATTAATAAAATCAAAGTTTTATTTGATACTTTATGCTCTTAAGCAATCTTTAATTTTACAAAAAAAATAACTAAAGTTGAAAAAATCTAAATTTAGTATATAAATAATTTTTGAATAAATTATTTCTATATATGGACAAATAAAAAAAAACTAAGTAATTAACACCACCGGTACGATGCGTTGCGTTCAACTTTACCACGAGCCAAGAGACCGAAAACTCCTCCGCTTGCGCCTTTTATTCTCCTTTTTTTTCTAACTGCGTCGAGCGGACTTTTTTGCTAGCCGTTGTTCGGTCAATACCCTCAACATTTCCCCTCAACAGGTATTCTGTTGTTGACTTCTGAAAGCTTTAAATTACACTCGCAGCTTTTTTTCTATTATCCGCTGCAATTTTTGGCGATCAACCGAAATGCACAAAACAAATTAATAAATGACATTTCTCATTTTTTTCTATTTTTGTTTTGATTATGCTTTGTTTTTAATAAAATGTGTTTCATGCGGTTCGGAAAAATAATTTAAATTTATTTTAATTAATATAGTTCGAACTATATTAATTAAAATCAATATTCGTCAGGGTATTTCAAGGTATGTATAGCATATGTTAGATATGTTGGAGTACACAACATCAAATTTTATTTAATTATAGTTATCTTTGACGTCAGCATTTTTTTTTTTAAAAACGTGTGAAATGCGTATTGTGGCAAGACTAAAATTTATTCAAAAAAATTTAGTCGTCACAAGATGTAAAACATGTACTCAACTTAGCAAGTTCAGATTACACACTTAATTTCTTGTAGACTTACAAGCAACATTTTATTTGCTAAAAAATATTAGAAGCTATTTCTCAGAAAGTTCGTTAATATATGACACCTAAGCTGGAATCTTAGGGATACAAAACTCAAAAAGAGTAGCAATAATTAGTTGCACTGTAGAAGTTGTATCAAAAACCAAATCACTTGTTTCAGTGAAATGCAGTGAAACAATTCAACACGTGGAGAATTGCCTATTAAAACGCAATCTTCTATTAGTAGTACTGGTAAGTAGTCGAAAAAAAACTTGAAAGTCTTGACATCTGAATTGGCAGTGTCCTCATGACTTTCAGTCTTCATATTAAATACTTTAGTGTGACCAAAACAAAACAACGGAAATTCTTGGTTGCTTGAATACTTCGATCCATTTGTCTTAGCTGCACTTGAGACTAGTACAATTAAGTACAATTAAGGCTTACTTGAAAGAATTTACAGGAACTCATAGACTAATGTGTCGGTGAGTGTGTGTTATGAATTTTAAACTGTTTCGAATGATGCAACTGACATAGGTTCTAAAAGAAAGCTAAAGCTACTAATTGGCAAAAGAAACCAAACTCATTAGAAACAACATAAGTGCTTCGAGAAAATCAGCTGAGTATAGAAAAGGAGTCTCCCAGTGGGCTTAGTAGAATATGAAGTCATATGTACTTATTTATATATATTTAATAGTTGTTGTAATGAATAGTAAATTAATGACCTAATTTATCAAAAAAATGGTGTGCTGTGATGTTTAGTAGGCATTCTCCGAACTATTTGAACAAAAATTTTTTGATATTAAGAAACTAAAAATTGTTTCATGATTTCGGCCTTAAAATTTTATATCAATAGAAGATTTATAATAAAAATTGAACGAGGTAACACCTTTAAGTTAATAGAATGAAAATATTGTAAGGGAAATTTGTATTCTGGAATTTAAATTGTATTCAGTGTCGTCGCCAGAAACACTGGCAGTCGAAGGAAAACAACTGTTGTGTTTGCAATCAACTGTTGCAATATAGTCGATTGACTGAATCCGTCAAATATTTTTCGTGGTCATTGTCTTCAACTACTTCTGCAGTAGAAAAATCACATTAACGCATGTCAGCTGAGTACGACCGATTGTTATTTCAGAATCGTTATTTAGTTTATCCATATAGCAATGTAATCATTTTAAGAAAGTAAATTATATTGTGTTATAACGCGTTTAAGTTTTTTTAATATGTCTACATAAAACAGAATATATGCTTCACAACACAATAAGTAAACTGCACACTAGTCTAACTGTACAAGAACCCCAGACTATACACTAACATAAGCCAATTATTGTCGATTTGTATTGAAAATCAATATTTAGTAATAAGCCATTAACTTTTCCAGCTAAGTTTATTTAATCATTAAAACTACAGAAACATAATTTATCTGCGTCTGATTCTTGTTTTTTCAAACTAACTTATTAAGATTTTTCATACTCATTTTTGTTCCAGATACATCCCGACGTGTTTTGCCAATCAGTTCTTCAGATTGTATTATGTATTGTGCCTGATCGTGTTTGGCCGAATCATAGCTAAGAGCCTTCAGATAGCTGGGGCATCCAATTTTGTCTTAGAGGCATTTTTAATTGCTGCTTTCGTCAAATTTTTTATGAAATTAATTAATAGATCATTCAACTGGTTAACACTTTCCGTGCTATATTCTTTTACACCCATTCCAACCATTAATTGCTTTATTTCGGTGCAAAAGTTTGGGTTACGGGCAACTCCAGTCGTAAGCGATTTTTTTTTAATTATTTTTTTCTAAAAGTATTTATTTAGCAATACTTTTTTAATAATATATTTTTTATTCACTTACGCTCATTTCTCAAACTTTGCTTGTTGTATTTTGACAAATTTTAACTAAAATCGTATTATTCAAAACAAAATTTTGTTTTGTTTTTTACTAGCAATTTTTGTGCAATTGCTAGTGAAATATTATTTTTCAATTTTATTCAATTGCGACAATTAATTAGGAATATTTTACAACGGAGACTAAAATAGTCGATATCAGCCTATATCTATAATATTATAATATAATGTTTAATTTGAAATGTAATTGATGAAATCGACGGTTTGGTTATCTTAATCCGTCGTATGAAATCTTCTGTTTGAAGGAGTGATTAAGCTTCTGTGTCGCATTAATCTTTAAGCCCTTTTTATGTGCTTCAACATAAATCGTGATTATTTTAGCAAGCGTCGGAACCCCCAAGTCATTCAAAATATTAATGACTTACGAAGATTGCTTATTAAAATTGAAATTCATACTAACATGTAAGTCTATAGGAGTATTCAATCTATTTTGATAATTCGTTGCCATGCGCAAGAAATGCACAGATTGTGTGAGCTTGCAATGGACAACAACAAAATATACTCACAAAGTTTTCTGCAATTGCTACCAGTCTTGCTATACCTAAATCCATGCATATATGATCGCAACACAATAAAAAATGAAAAAACAGCTGTTTTGACATCAGTTGTTTCTCATGCGGATGTGGTATGCTGCAAAAACAGCTGTTTCATTTTGCTGTTACAATTCTGCACAGAGGAGTTCTCGCATTCTTACACTTCGTGTACTTTGCAATGACTTTGCAAGACAGAGTGAATACAATAATATAATAAATCATAGCCAAATCATGTTTTACTACATAATGTTA